TATATATATATATATATATATATATATATATATATATACAAATTTTAAATATAAAAAATAAGGAGATTTTCATTGTTTCTATGGACAGAAATACAGAAATACTAATAAGTCAAAAAAATATAAAATATAAATATTATATTATATTACAGCAATATTTCACATCATAGTGCTCCATCCATATCCTCACACAAACAATAAAATATTTTAGTTAATTTCTTTCATGAATGCCTATATGAAAAGTAGATTTACAACCATTGGGACCAAGTCAATCATACAGTTTCATTAGGTCAACACACACTTAGTCAATTCAATTTTGTCCACATCCACACTCGGAACTTGCAGTTATAGTTGCAAAAAGCAGAAATCCAATTAAGATGAAAAAGAAACAAGCGAGTAGTTACAGTTTTGAATAACTATACCCTAGAATCTCAATAATATCGCATCATGACCCAGATGTTTCCACCCTACCAGTTGTATAACACAGGTAAGTATAGTGAAAGGGAAATCTGGTACCTTTTCCTTGGACTGGACGGATGGTTTCTGTTGGTGGTGAGACAGAGAGATCTCCATGATGAAGCTGGCTGTGTGCTGGAGACCAGTGAGGTTATACAAAATCTGCGCTAGAACTTCTGGGCTCACAGAAACAACATGTCACTGTGCAAACACCATAAAACACAACGCTGCTGGGTATAAAAGTCACTGAGAAGGAAAACACACTGACGCACATTCAGGCAACAATCATCGAGAGAAACCTGGGCATGACTGACCATACGGCAGACACAAATAAAATGCACAGTTATAGTAAAAAAAAAAGTGTTTGTCTCAAATGTTTGCATGTCTACATTTGGTCAATCTATCTGAAACACACTTTCCACAGGTGCTTTTTTGAAATTTTGTCATCATCTTTAACCTCTTGCAATGCAAAGCTCTATAATCCGGGACATTTTGACTGGAACACAAAAATAGTTATTAATAGTTAGTAATGTTAGACTAAACACATTACACATTACTGATGCCATCCAAGATGTAGATGTTCTTTATCAGAACCGATTTGGAGAAATTTAGCATTACATCACTTACCAAAGGATCCTCTGCAGTGAGAATGAATGAGAGTCCAAACAGCTAATAAAAACATTACAATAACTCACAAGCAATCCACACAACTCCAGTCCATCAGTTAACAACTTGTGAAGCAAAAAGCTGCTTGCTTGTAATAAACAAATCCATCAATACAATATTAACTCGTCCACCATATGCTTTCTCTATAGTGAAAAAGTCGAGTTATCTAAATCAGGAGAGAAATATGCACAGATTAAGCACGTCTTACAAGCAAAAACAGTCCAAAACAGTTCTAAACAAATGATGGGAGAGGACAACAGGGGATGGAATTTTCCACTGAAGGAAGCATTATTATGGATTTTGGCCAGAGGCGATGGTTTAAAGTTAAAATGCTTTAATGATGTATTTGTGTCTTACAACCTCAGCTTTTTGCTTCACAAGACTTATCAGCTGAAATCTTGTGGATCAACTTGTGGATTATTGTGATGTTTTTATGGTCCCTGATGGGCCTTTTTCTGTACAGTAGCTCCTAAATAGAAACCTTCTTCTTGTATAACGATACTAACAGTAATTAGATCATGATCAGTCTTATAGACGTTCAAAGGTTTATTGTCAAATGGAGACGGTGTTTTTCTTCCCTATCGTGTCCAGCCAATCGTCCAAACTGCCCAAAGCAGGTCCAGACCAGAAAACGATCCAGAACCAGTTCTGTTTTGCGTCACCAAAGCACCTTCTGTTCTGCGATGGCTGACACCTGTTCCTCTCAATTCATCAGTGCAGCAGTCCGTTCACCATCCCACTCTCCATCACTCTCACAGCTGGAGAGATGAGCTCAGCCAGCAACAAAGGCATTTGTGTTCCTGTGTGTTTGAGGAGAAAGCAAACGTGGTAATTAATGACCCTTAGCAAAAACGAAAGAAAGAGTTTGTCATGAATTTCATATGCAGATACTTAGACTAACAGACTTAGTTGCCACAACTCAGAAGAAATACTGAATAATGAGTATTGTTATATGTGTATTGTTTTAGAATGACAGTGATGTGTCATGGAATAGAAGCGTGCTTAAATTAGATTCAGTCACATTATGAGCTTGAGCAACTTAGTGGAAATAGCAGTTCTGTTCATATGAAAAATAACCATAGAGAAACGACAAAATAAAGGCACAAATGAGGAAAACTGTTGACTTACAGTCTGAGTGTAAAGCTATAAAAATGTGCACAATGTAACCTAGTTAATTTGGTGAGAAATGTTGTTTGTGATCTTGTTACAAGTGTTTGCAAACTTTTTGAGGCCACATATTCCCAAATATTATGATCCCCTTGTGTAATATAAAATATGAAGCTTGCTATATGTTTTCAAGTATAAATACCCGCAAAAAAAAAAAACTAAACAAATATGTGGAAAATAATATCGTTTTTAATTTTTAAATCCACCATTCAAGTACTGTTAAGTAGATTACAATTAATTATTACTATTCGATTACTGAACATAAAACTATGAATCCCATTTGAATGAAATAACTGATTTCATCACTTCAATCTGTAGAAAGCAGAATAAAATGGTAATAATTTTTTTTTAATTCTGTAAATTTTTAAAATATGCATTTAAAAATGCATATGTACTGTATATATTTTTAATAATTATAAACTACCTTTCAAATGTTTGGGGTCGGTATGCATTTTTAAATGTTTTCTTATTTTTTTCTACTGTTTTTAATTGTAATATATTTTAAAATGTAATTTGTAATTTTAAAATATCATTTATTTAATTTTTAGCATCATCACTCCAGTCTCCAGTATCACATGATCCTTCAGAAATCATTCTAATATGCTGATATTCTGCTGCTCAAGAAACATTTCTTCTTATTATTAAAGTTAAAAACATTTGTGCCGCTTAATATTTTCATAGAAACCGTGACACTTTTCTTTGATGAATAGAAAGTTCAAAAGAACTTATTTGAAATATAAATATTTTCTAACGTCACAAATGTCACTTTTGATAAATTGCATTTCTTTAAAAAATTTTTTTTTTTTTTTGCTTTAACTTTTGCACATGCTTCATAGCACCTCGTTCCAGCCTCAGAATTTAAGAGCTTAAAAAAGTACAGTGTGTGACAATGTCAAGATTGCTTCCGAAACTACCTTTTGATCAAGAAAAAAATGTAAGAAGCAGGAGAGCAAACATCTATATTTGACTTGACTCTAATCTCTATGCTGTTGGAGAGAAATTATATTAATGAGATCTCAGTTGTGATTTTATATTTTCCTAAGGGATCAATTAATTTCAATCAAGTCGACACATATATTTGACTTGTAGGTTAATGTAATCATGGAGACTGACATTAATGTACTTTTTGCTAATGATGTTGCCATAATTAACATGCTAGACTGTTGGAAATGTCAGAGACGCTACCTATCATCACAGAATGAGTAATAACTTTCAACGTTTCGCTCATGCAAAAGATGATGGGCAGTAAAGGCAGCAACAAGAGAAGCTGATCCATGCTAGGCTAACATCTTTGGAGGAGTTAGTTGGTCATTCAGTAATTGGTTCCTAATCCCTCAAAATATTATAGAATCCCTACAAGAGCAAACAGCCAACAATAGAGTGCAGTACGTCTGCAGAGCAGTGATAAGGACCCTTGGGATGCACCAGGGAACTTCTGCATTGTGAGTCTGGATTCTGGCTGCTCTGTGGATGCTCCCCATTGCTTTCATTATCAGGGAGAAAGGAATATTGTGGCTCTTTGGAGTAATACAAAGGGAGGGAAGGATCGTTTCTAATCCCCGGGGAAGTGTTCCTGCAAGGGAAAGATGAAGTCTTGATGATGGCTTCTATTATACTGCTACCGAAACAGATCTGAAGCCTTATCGGCCTGCCTGTATCTACTGAGGTCTTATGTAGGAAGAGAAAGTAGCTTTAAAGATTCAGTATGAACTGGAATCTTGGAATAAAGACTCTATTTACTCTAGAACTAAATATATAGGGGATGATAAGTGGTCTTGACACTGTGACTATAGTGGAATAACTAGAGTGGTTTATTGGTTTACTTCAATTGAGAAT